GCTCAGTATGAGCATTTCTCTCACATTTGTGAGGTATAATTATGTGTGAATGTGGAAAGTTATTTGGACTGGTGGAAGAACTTCAGAAACGGATCAAAACTCACTTAGGAACATTATATATTCAAATGCAAATTATGTTTCTCACAGCAATTTGCTGCTTTTCATTGCTTTCCATCCAAGTCAATGGAGGTCACACAGGTTACTGCTGTTCACTCAGGATGTATTATTGCTTTCTGTCTGCACTTTAATTGTTTGGCTGATGCCCATACATTTTTCACACCTTGTTTAATCAGCATCTCTAATCGTCAGCATTGCATTATTAAGATGAAGTGTCAAGTAAAAAAAAAAAACTTTTACAAAGGATGAAAACATCTGCTTTGGATGGATACAATATATGAGTAAAAATGAAAAAGGGTTAATTCACCAAGAGGGGAAAATGAAAATACTGTCGGGAAAAGTAGAACTGAAGTTTGGCTTTATGATCAATGGCTAGTGGGCTAATAGACTCACCCAAAGATTTATGGGACATTTCACCGGTACGGAACGAGGGAGGAAAACACCAAACAACTGAAATAAATCTCTTTTTCCTCTTATTTCAAAGCTAATTGAACTGTGCCAGTATCAACTCAAATAGCTGGAATATAAACATGACGGTGAGTAAACGATGGCAGAAATGTCATTTTTGGCCAAAATGTGTATTACATAAGAACAAATGAAAGATGTGAGTGCAGCGGTGTGAAAAACATCAAGCCCTTGAGTTGATTTGATGCATGCCTGTGCTGTTTTTGAGTCAATCAGGCGTGAGTGCTCTCACAGTCAGTTAACCGCTGAAAGTACGGTCAAACGCATTAAAACTCAAGCAGGTGTAAATGATCACAGATTAGACTAAAACTGTGGTATCTGGTTGAATTTAAAACTTCATTTAATGCCAAATTGCAGAATTATGGGTAAATAGTATTAGTCAGCAGTTAAAAGCAATTTTCTGATTTATACACTGGTATTTTGTAAAAGGAGGAATCAATGTTTAATAATGATTAGGGACATGCAGGCACACTGCTGGAAGAACAATGGCTTAATTATGGGCTATTTTACAGCGCAGAGGTACAGCAGCTACCAAATGAACAATTAGTTCATTTCTGGGCATCTCACTGGTGCTTTTACTTGGAATTAAATTGCCTATTTTTCCATTTCCATGCATGAAATATAAAGGCCATTATTTGACTTTTAAATGTGCATTGATAAAACACAGACACACTTGTAGGATTTGTCTGTTTTACAGCTTCTCACAATTCTGACATGAATGCACAAAGTACAGATGATCTCCAGAGATGCATCTTAAACTGCTAACACATTCGGGAAAGAGTGTATGAGGAACATAAGGTTTTAACGGGAGAAACTGGGAGAGAAATGCAGCATTACATCACTTGCTCAGCACTCCAGTCCATCAATTAACATCGTGAGAAGTGAAAAACTGCATATCTGTAAGAAACAAATCCATCATTAAGGCATTTGTAACTTTAAACCATTGCTTCTGGCTAAACTATGAGTCCTTTATACATAATATTGCTTTCTTCAGTGAAAAAGTGGTCTTATCTGAATCAGGAGAGAAATATGCACAGATCAAGCACTGTTTACAAGTGTAGTTATTATTATGTGGGTGTTACAGTGGAATATTAGTGGACTCCTGTTTTGTTCAGAAGTGATGCTTTAAAGTTAAAACATTTCGATGGATTTTTTTCTTAAAAACACGCAGTTTTTGGGTTCAGAAGACGTTAATTGATGGACTGGAGTCGTGTGGATTATTACCGGTATATGTGATCCTGGAGCACAAAACCATTCATAAGTAGCGCGAGTATATTTGTAGCAATATACATTGTATGGGTCAAAATGATCAGTTATTATTTTATGCCAAAATTCATTAAGATAATAAGCAAAGATCACGTTCCATGAAGATATTTTGCGAATTTCCTACGGTAAATATATCAAAACTTAATTTTTGATTAGTAATATGCATTGCTAAGAACTTCATTTGGACAACTTTAAAGGCGATTTTCTCAATATTTTGATTTTTTTTCTTGCACCCTCAGATTCCAGATTTTCAAATAGTTGTATCTCGGCCAAATATTGTCCTATCCTAACAAACCACACATCAATGGAAAGCTTATTTATTCAGCTTTACAGCTTTACTCAATTTTACAAAATGACTGGTTTTGTGGTCCACGGGCACACATTACTTTTTCTTTCTTTACAGAAATGTTTGCAACCCATTCAGATGGAAAACGGAACAAAACTTTTACACATCTATAGTTTTATGATGATGATGATCCTGATCGCTGCATGATAAAAATCCCATGCAGCCATCTGAATCGTGTTTGAAACCAGTACATTTAGGATGCCAGATCTGCGTTTTCTATAGTGGAAGAGTATGGAACGACTCAGAATGGGCATCCGCTCCATAACCAACACTGCTAAAAATAGATGAGGTGCTGGAAAAGATCTGATTTTACACCTCAATAATAGCATATCATGACCTCTGAATGGCACATACACACAAACACAGTGAAATTATCTCTAAATAGCTGTGACAGGTCATCTTCTGCCACACAAACACACACACACACTCTTTCTTTCACAATAAATTTAGCTTTTAAACAAAACTGCAGTAATGCTTTCATCCTTATTCTTTATCTATCTTCCAGTCTAAATAAAGACTTTCAGTGAGACACAAGACAAAGGACTGCATTAGGATTATGTAAATAGATGAATAAGATTAGCCTTTTGAACCAGCTCAATCTCTCAGTAAAAGATCAAGTGACTGTAAAATACTTCACTGACAGAGAGAAACAGATGAGGACGTTATACTCAAAACTCCAAGCTGCTTTATCTGGTTCCTGGAATAGACTGTGTACAGTATATTCACTTCAGAGGTGCTGTGGTTTTGCTGCGTGGAGGCTGTATTTATATCAAAGTGGAACACCAGTGAGTTCAGATGCTAACGGTGGATCAGGGTGAGTATTATTGTGTGAAATAATGCCCACAGTTCGGTGACTCATGCATGATTCTCTTCTGTTTTGTCATGAGCGCTTACGGCAAACACAAATTTAACTGTAGGGCTGGATGACTACACTGCCAAAAAAAAATTTCAGTAAAAATATTTAAACATGCAGACATGTTTTTATAATTTTTTTTATTTTTATAAAGAAATCAATATTTTTATTTAGCATGGGTGCTTTTAAATTGATCAAAAGTGACTGAGAAGACATTTGTAATGTTACAAAAGATTTCTAATAAATTCAGTTCTTTTGAACTTTTTTTCTACTCATCAGAGAATCCGTAAAAATGTATCACAGTTTCAACACTGATTATAATAAGTAATGTTACTTGAACACCAAATAAATATTAGAATAATTTACATGGTAGTGTATCTTTAATTATTGTTTTGGGGATTTGTATTTTTTTTAGCAATTTGATTCAATTTGATTATATTTACGCTTTAAGTAAATGTTAGGCCTAGTGTTATTGTTATTTAGATGTTTAAATATTTAATGTTTAAATAGTTTTCCTGGAAAAGGATGAAAATTATGATAAATAAAGTGATTATTTTTGTGGCATGATTAAACCTGTCTCGATATTTCTCTTTTTTTTTCATCTTGTGCTTTTACACTCAATGATTTATTCCTGTATTCGACTTGTTTTTTTGGTATTATGTTGGTTATGCTGTGTGTGTTAAACAAGTGCAGTGCTGTGGAAAAGAATTTCCCCCTTGGGGACAATTTTTTGTTTTTTTTTAATGTTCATTACTGGTACCTTCTATTCAACCCACTGATCCGTTTATTTATTTATTTTTTCTTTCTTTTCTGGAGAAAAACTTTTAAAGTTTTCAGTTTTCACATAAAGTCTCTTTATTTATTGCAAGGGCAAGTGGAAAGTGCTTTTCATTATGGCAGCTTATTTCAAGGGCAGGGAAATTGCTGTGCTAAATATATAACAAGAATATTGAGTTACATTCATAAATGAATGAAAACACCAAAGGAGAAAAGGGGCAGATAGTCGAACAATAACCGTCACATTAGCAGTCCGGGCCGACAACTGCCTCAAGGTGCCTTTTCAAATGACGACCATGTCAAGATGAATGAACAATAACCAGGCGAAGCTGTGAAAACATTTCAAAGGATAAACAGAGCAATATACTCATGTGGTTACCATGGCCATCTGTGCTGCATCACTGATTATGATTCTTGGCAAAAAACAGCTAATATCATCATGTTTCGTTGTTTTATACTCATTAAATTAACATTTGGTATTGCATCATTTACAGGGATGTGCAACATTCAAAATTAAGAGAGTCTATTACATTTTAGGGTAACACTTTACTTGAAGGGGTGTGCATAAGACTGACATGACACATACATAATCATAACGTGAAACATGTCATGAATATGAAGGGTTTTTATGCATGTTTATGACAACTGTCATTAAGTGTCATTCGCTCAGTTATGTCATTTTTAATG